TATATGGAAGGAGAGCTAAAATCTGAACAGTTTAGCTAAAGCAAATATATAAAGCTGAACACATTTAAATGTGTGTTTGCACTGGACATTTGCCTCTACTAAAATAAACTGCAAAGGGATTTGAAAAGGGGATACTGCACTTATTATTTTTTTCTGATTTGTTTTTAAAGTGTTTCATATTAATATATTTTAGTATTCTTAAGAAATATTATTATTCATTTAACTGAATTTTAATATCATCACATATTGCCTGAAATCCTGTTACTTAGCATAGTAAATTACACCAGAGTAGGCCCATTGAATTAGCAGGGATTTAGCGAGTCAATTCCTCCATAAGTTCTGTTGATTCAAACTGGCCTACTCTAATGGCAACTGACTTCAGCAAATCTCCACTGATTCAATGGGCCTACTCTAGTGTGACTTGCTACTGTAAGCAACAGGATTTCACTCACTCTGTTGTTTGCTTTTCCTGCTTTTTAATCTTTTTCTAAGTTGCCTTCAGTCCTTGAACTGGGAAAAAATGACAGAATATTAATTAAATGAAATGGAATGAAATCAACTCCTTTGATTTAAGCTGGGGTGGGGTGGGGGAGAAGCACTGAACGGCTGCAGTCAAACCAAATGGTAATTTCAGGCTTCATCCAAAGGAAGTAAATTAAAATATCAAGAGAACATTTCCATCTGCCAATTTAAACGGAATAAACTGAAATTATAGGGAGAAATGTGATACAGTTAGAAAATAACATTTTATAATGTGCTGGTCAAATGCTATAGACTGCTGCCATTTCCTTTTCTGAAGTTCTTGTATTGAGTTCTAAAATGTTTAAAGTAATAGTCAGAAAACTGTAGCTTTTGGGCCCAGCCTGCCTCCTTGAGGGTTATTATTCAGCTCCAACCTACAGGCACAGTCATATGATAGAAGGATTGACTTGCCTGCAGCCAACTTTAAGAAGCAGTAGTGGGACTTTGGAGGGAGGGGGAGAGAGAGAGCGAGAAGCCCCAGCAGTGGAAGAAACAACTATGGATGGCAGGGAATCTGGGCTAATTCATATTAACTTGCATGTCATGTGGTCAATGGAAAATAATGTGAACCTGATTGTCCCAGTCCATTTTCCACATTCTTTGTCAATGTAGTTGCACCCAAGACTGCCAGTTTCAAGATTTCCCAGGTGTTACTTTTCCTAGACCAGAGAAAAAGCACATCACTTGAAAGTAAGTAGTAACCTAGTTCTAGCAAATGTTATCCTCATCTGGAACAGGTTTTTTTCCCCTAATGAACTTAATTCCCATTTAGGTCCATGCCATTCTCAAATACATTGTGCCAAGGAAAACTCATAACAATATATTGTTGCTGAGAGAATTCATTCCCCCGACACAAGTTACTATGAAGACTGGATTTAATCTCATGTGTAAGAGGGAAGCCAAGGAGAGTAGGGGGTGACATAGGCTATCATCTCTGCCTGGCACTCTGACCCTATGTTCTCTTGCTCTGCTACAACATGGGCAACTGTTAAAGAGTTGATGCAGTATTTTCTGACAAGGTAATTCCAACAAGCACAGAAGTTCCCAAATTCTGTGCAGGCTGAAGAAATATTAAATCATCTTTAATGCCCCTTGTAGAAAGCACTGCTGCATTCCAGATGTAACTAGATGCATAACAGAGGCTACCTAATTTACAAGCCTATACTCTACTTCAATATAAATCATTCCAGGCAGCTTGCAGCTGTGAAAAGAATTTTTTTAAAAAAAGAGGCAAATACAATGAAAACAAATTAAAAACATGGAAGCCACTACAATCCCCCTGCTGTGAAATCCTAAAAGATGGGATTAAGAAAATGAAAGCTGTCAAAAGCAAAAGATACAATACTATTTCAAATTGCCTAAACTTTATTACTAGTATTATTCTTATACCCACACACACACCTTCAGGATTAGGGATTGCACACACAAAAAGGATGTTTTGAAAGTTAACGGAGGTATGGCATTGCAATTTGATTGATGCTGAGCGACAAATGCCTGGCAGCAATCTAAAAAGGTCAGGACCTTGATACAGTCTGACTCATCCCTGCTGCTGGAATATCTCTGAACTCAACCCGAGCAGTTGCAACAGTAATTGTGAGTTACAGGCATCAGGGTCTTTCATACCTCAGCAATTATGGAGCCAAATCTGGCAACAAATAATAATAAATAATAATAATGTACAGAGGCAGCATCTCTGAATCAAGCCAACAGCACTCTCACTTGTTTCTTGGCACCCAGATAAATGGGTCCACAATCATTCCAAAATTAAGAGGCTAATTGCTCAAGGATCAGATCAGAGTGACCAACAATAGAATCCTAGGCATCTCTGAGTCCGGGTAAGAGTGTATTGGATTGCAGGCAATGAATACGATGAAGGCGGGATTCACAGTATGAAGTAGCACCCATACAAAATGGCCAAAATCCTACTCAATCCCTATGCATGCACAAGAGGAGTCATAAAGAGTGCTATAGTTAATTTATAAGGTGCCAGTCACATGTCTGGCATTGCGTGTCTGGTTGCACACCTATCACATGCCAAGGCACTTTGTCAATTAGCTGCAATTAGCCACAGAAACGCCTGCGATTCTTCTTGTGAGTGCAATAAATATCCAATAGGAATTTGGCCAATAGGTTTAAAGTGAGTGACATCCAGACACAATTGTAACTATTTCTGTCATCCAGGGGAGTTCCTTCCTCCTTGAAAACCAAGGGGATGCTGAAAAGCAGTTTGTGAAATACCTTGAGCATGTGAAGTTTCAGTGGTGATGCAAATCCTTTGGACCAAGCTCAGGTAGTTCAGTGAAGGGCACAGCTCAAGAATGTTACTTTAAAAAAATTACAGTTATCAGAATCCTTAAGCCAGCACACATAAGGGCTCAGTCATGATATGCATGCATTCAGTGAAGATGATTTATTTACCCTAATTTGCAATATCTTTTGAACAACTCTTTCATAATAATAGTGTGCTATCAAGTACCTCCTATCTTGATCTTTGCCCAGTCATAGAGAAGCCATTTACCATTCCCTTCTTCTGGATGTGCTCTGAGACATGTAGCCTGCCCAAGGCTATGTAAGCTGACTCTTTTCTTAGAAGGCACCACAAGTAAATTGAACTCCCAACTCTTAACTCCATTAAAAGATACCTGGACTCGTTCTTCTGGGGCTTTCCCCCCTGTTTAGTCGTCTGTCTGTTTATTTGCTGTTTTTCATTCAAATGCTTGAAGCCAATATTTCACCGTTAATCTATTCCATTCAAGCTGTACTTCTATACCTCCTTAGTGAGTGGGGTGAGTTTCACTGAACACAATAAGGCTTGCTATTGAGTAGACACATGTAGGATTGCATTAACAGTCATTTATTTGAACCAATTTTCAGCTTTTCCCATTTAAAATTCAAAACAGAACAAATGGGAAAAAAGCCCACCCAAGATAAAATTTTATGCTTCCCTAGGTTAGAGAGGTGAAATATCCCCAGTGAACCAAATAATAATCAGGCACCATTGGAGAGATGAATACTTTCAGCACTCGGGGGGAGGGAGTTAAAAAACTACAGCTCCATGCAAAGAGCACCAAAATCTATTTCAGAAGCTGAGGGGATGTTTGAAACTTGCAGGAAATGGCTTTCCTGGGTTATGCATGCCAGGTGGATGTGCTGTCCCCAGAAAAGAGGATGCTTTGTACATAGAGATTGTAAGTCTAAGTGGGACTTACTCACAATATAACTTATTCAGGTAAGGGTGAATGACCAGCTCAAAATATCCTGTTGCCTGAGGCACAGCAGCAAAAATTGTACCCACATCAACCCATGTCAAAGTGTCTGTCCATCCCCTTATTTGTGGACTCTGAGAGCCTTTCAAAGGCAAGTCAGCGTTTTGTTTTGTTTTGGCATGGAAGACATATGAACCCATAAGCAGCTTCCCCTGTTTATGATATTAAAAATTTAAAAATATAATAGCAAATTAAGTAGCTACGAATTCACTGCCTTTTCATGACACCCCCGAGGCAGTCAGCTCATTCTGCTTTTTATCAGAACTGGCCCTGTAACACTGCACAGGAATGCACCTTAAGAATCCCTTCAACCTTCCTACCACTGCAGGGATACGAGAGAATGCCCACTTTCTCTAGAGCAGTGGTCCCCAACCTTGGGCTTCCAGATGTCCTTGGACTACAACTCCCAGAAATCCTGGCCAGCAAAGGTGGTGGTGAAGGCTTCTGGGAGGTGTAGTCCAAGAACATCTGGAGACCCAAGGTTGGGGACCACTGCTGTAGAGTATCTCAAGATAACGAAGATAACAGACCTAGCAGTTGTGTATTCTTGGTGTTCTGACTGGCAGAGTCTCCCTGTTAGAACACGAAGAGGCTAGGTGAAGCATATTTCCTGGGATGGCTTTGGCCAGCTATTTCTTACTTTTCTCTGGCTTCTTCTTGCTCTTATATTCACAGTATCACGATGCATGTACTACTGAACCTTTGAATCCTATTTGTCTGAAACAGAGATAGGGAACATGTAGCCTTCCAACAGTTGCTGGATTGCCATTCGCATGATCCCTCACCATTGACTAGGCTGGCTGCAGCCCAACAGCATATGGAGTGCTACAGGTTCCTTACTGTGGATTGAACACATTCCCAACATGACTTCAGACATATATTTACAACACCAAAGCAATCATACACATTTCACAACATGGTAAATATCTGTGTTTCCTTCTCTCTGTTTACTCAAGTTTCTATATGGTATCTAAAATTCACAAAAATTATGTGTTCTTTCAACTACTTTTCTCACTTATTATTTCTATCCTGCCACTCTCGCAACTGGTATCTTCCCTTGTTTCACACTGAAGCAGAGAAGTGTTCCCTTTAACATTCCTGTCCACAGACATTAACTCTCTGTGTCTTGCTGATACATGCAACAACAATGCCATAATATATATATATGATGGGATAAAAGGCTGTGTATTATTCTGTAAAATGCTCACTTACCTGCAATTTCTTCTAAAGAATTTGCTCTCATGTCTAGCAACACTGTGCCATTAAGAATACAACTTCTCACTTCAAACAAACTATGGAGTGACAAAGTGGCGACGTATGGTTTACTCCATCTCTCTCCTCCATCTTCAACATCCTCTTCAAATTTCAGCCACCTAAGCAAAACAAATGATCTCCATCACCGCTTTTATTTGAGAACTGAAACACCAGTCCTGTGTATTTAACAGGATGAAAATTGTTAAAGACAGTAATAACTATGTACGCATACACGTATCTACGTATCAAGTTATATATTTGTATGAGAGAGCTTTTTTTTTTTTTTGAAAGGGGGATGCAAGTTCACGTATTTGTTTTTTGGGCTGTGTTCTTCCTCCTCTGTTCTAGTACAAGCTTCCCTGAATGGAGAGGAGATAGTAATTTTGACCCGTTTCGTCCTCCCCTCTGTAGACCCTCAGGTCGGAAGGTGTCCAATATGACTGCACAGGAACCTGGAATGTAAGATCTATGAACCTTGGGAAGCTGGATGTGGTCAAACAGGAGATGGCAAGAATAAACATTGACATCCTGGGCGTCAGTGAACTGAAATGGATGGAAATGGGTGATGTATTCGCGAAGGCTTTCAGTACCGGGATCTAATGGTTGTTGTGG